AGGGAATGTGGGTCACGGGCTTTCTAGATGACCTTCTCTTTCAAGGACTCATCTCCCTTCCAGCTGTCTGCAAATGTCCACAGGACAATTCAGATTCTTCAGCCTTTCGGAAAAAGTTTTCCTTCCAGAAGTAGTAACATAAATGGCCAGTTGGGGAACACTAGGACTCTAAGCGGACAGTTTTAATTGCCATTGTTTTTAGATCACCGACAAATTCAAGGTAGATGGGTGTTTGAAATGCCACGGACCATCAATGAAGGAGGGTGTTATTTTTTTGTTTAAAAGGAGAAGCTACAAAATTTTGGCTATGCTTCTCCTATGGATCACAGGAGTACAGTTCGTTCTGCACTCCTGTGCCCTGTTTTCTACTGCCACTGAGAGCCTGAGCCAGCCACCCCCACTCCCTTCACAGAGATTGGCACACCATTGAGTGCTTGGGGGGGCAGAGCAGAGCAGAGAGCCAATGACTGACATTCACTAGCTCTCTGCAGGCTGAAGACCAAGAACTGGGTAATCAGCAGTGTATGACTGCTTAGGTTTCTGTCTTAGAGGTGGCAGGGGACGGCTGCAGCTGGAATCGATGCTGCAGCCATATAGGCGAGCATGATTGTTTATTTTTTTTAAAAGGCATACTTCTTTAACAGTAAATTTTTTAGTAAGTACAAGTTCAGAGTTACACTGTACAAGTGTATATATCATACAGAACAGTAGCACCACAGAAAAATATATGTACCAATTACATATGAGAGCAGGACTCATAAGTTAGGTAAAAAGATTAGCAAAGTGCTGTCTAACATTTAGAAAGTGTTAAACAGCCTCCTATGTGTTATTCTATAGAAGGGGTGGGGGTTGAGGGGTAGTATTCATTAGTCTTTTCTAGGCATTCATTTCCAAGGGAGCTGTGGAAATCCAGTGTAATGCTACATTATTCCTACCATTAAATAAAGGTAGTCTCATAAAGGTCTTTTGAGCACTTCCAAGATTAATATCATCAAATGTCTCTAAGACACCACTCTAGTTAGTGACATATATTCTGTAATTTGAGACCAAACCAGTTAAAACATATGGCAGTTCTGAGTCATATGTACAGTGAAGGAAATAAGTATTTGATCCCCTGCTGATTTTGAATGTTTGCCCACTCACAAAGAAATGATCAGTCTAAAAATCGAATGGTAGGTGTATTGTAACACTGAGAGACAAAATAGCAATAAAAAATTCAAAAGAAATGCATGTCTAACAAATTATGCACTGATTTGCATGTTCATGAGGGAAATAAGTATTTGATCCCCTTCACAAAACATGACTTAGTACTTAATGGCAAATCCCTTGTTGGCAATCACAGAGGTCAGACGTTTCCTGTAGTTGGTCACCAGGTTTGCACACATCTCAGGAGGGATTTTGGCCCACTCCTCTTGGCAGATCCTCTTCAAATCATTAAGGTTTGGTGGCTGACGTTTGGCAATTCGAACTTGCAATTTATATAAAAACACACTGCAGAGGATGTACATAACACACACCAGCGCACGTGTTATACACACCATAATGCATGTCCCCTGATGTGCTGTGCCCTTAGTGTGTTGGTGCATCGCAGTGTACTAACACACATAACCTGCATTGCCACAATGTGTGTGGCGCACATGTGTAAGTTAGGTGTGTGTGTGGTGGCTGTTTTACGTGTCATTCACACAACCACAAGAAGAAGCTTATTTCTGTGCCCGGAGTCACAGGCATTTGCATCCAGTGCTGCTCATCCCTCCCTGTATGCATGTAACTGCTCAGGTGTGTGGTTACATGCATACAGCTGAGGCATCTGTCATTTTGTACAGGCTGCTGCCTGTGACTGAAAGCAAACATGCATGACTCTTCTTGATATTGTATGGCCCTTTGCCGCCTTGTGAATGTGGCCTTATTTCTGGTTGTTTTTGTTTTTTTGTTAAACACTTTTTTTTCTTTCTTTTTTTTTTTAAACACTTTTTATTTCTGTATATTTTTAATAGTAGTGGAGGCATATCCCTCATATTTCACTTTTCAGAAACAAAAGGAGACTGAGAATACAGAGCTGTCAATCTCCTTTTCTTCTGCAACACCTGCACTCACTACAGTAAACCCAGGAAGTGATCAGTACTGATCACTTCTGTATTCATTCACAAACTGCACCGATAAACATCTGACTTAATGATCACTATCAGTTCAGTTATGAACAAACAGAAGTGATCATTTACATTAATTTATGAAAGGAAGTGGTCATTATAAATACAAGACATGAAATGATCATGAGCTCATAAGCAGAAGGGAAATAAAAAACATACAGTAAGGCCCACTGAGCTGGCTAGCTGGAAACATTACCTGAAGTTTCTTCATTTCCAAAAAAAGGGAGCAAAAAATAAGACCATTGTTCTGCCCATATTGTTGAAAATAAATGTATGCAATATACTGCAATGTTATTTGATGTTGCTGCCATCTAGCGGTTAGAGTTATTATGCCTAGTTATATCAGGATTTGATAGGAAGTGGTGATTTTCACATAGAGACAGTAACCTTTAACCTGAAACTTCCTATCCTCCATTTCATGACTGCTTCTGGATCTAACAAGCAGCATACAGTGGAGCTCTGAGCTATTCCTGGACTTATGATGGAATTGTCCATGAGTACACTCACGGATGGGATGAAGCTGTTGTGTAATGTTTAATGTACTGACACATATGTTTTGTTTGTGCTTATGTTGTAGTTTTACAAAGTTATTCAGAACAAAGAATACATACAGATCTGATGTCTCGCGTTTCTTGACTTCTGAATTATTGTTAGACTGACTAGTGTTATACAATAGTTCAATAACGCGAAGCAGAACAAACATCTTAGATCACCCTGGGCTGTCTGCTTTCTAAAAGGGATACTTTTGGGGGTGATTGTACTGTCCTGGCATTTGATATGTTGCATCACAGAAAGTAAGAGAACATGTTTTATTAATATATTTAAACATATAAATAAAACATTGTGATCATTAACCACTTGCCTTTCAGAGGATTTACCCCCCTTCCTGACCAGGCCATGTTTTGCAATACGGTGCTGTATTAATTTAACTGACAATTGCGCAGTCATTCAACACTGTACATAAATTACATTTATGTCCTTTTTTCCCCCCACAAATAGAGCTTTCTTTTGGTGGTATTTGATCAACTCTGCATTTTTTTTTTTTGCGCTAAAAAAAAAATAAAAAAATTTGCAAATCAAATGTATTCTGCTACATGTCTTTGCTACAAAACAAAAAAAAAATCACAGCACGTGTAAATTGATTGGTTTACGTGAAAGTTATAGCGTCTACAAATGGCAGTATATATTCTGGAATTTTAATTTTTTTTTATACTCGTAATGGCGGCGATCAGCGACTTACAGAGGGACTGTGGCGGGCATTCTGACACTGGGTGGGAACTGACCAACTGCCACTGACATCCCCAGTGACACTAATACAGTGATCAGTGGTAATAAAAAGCACTGACACTAATGACACTGGGCAGGAAGGGGTTAACTTTTGGGCAATCAAAGGGTTAACTGTGAGCTGTGCCTGTTTTACTAGGGGGCATGCTGTTTTGTATCACTCTGCTGTGCAGAGATACACAAAACAGCATGTCCATGCTGACAGGAGAGACCTGCTTTGTTTACACACAGGTCTCTCCCATCAGCTTTACACGATAATGGCCGAGTGTCGGTTGGGAATCGCCGGCCGGGACATGGTGACTGACATCCCTAGCCGCCGATAGAGGTGCGGGTTGGGCAGTGCACGCCCCCGACCCAGAAATACAAATCACGTATATATACACATGATTTTGCGCAGCCCTGCCACCCTGTAGCAGTACTTCTACTATAGGGAGGCGGGCAGAAAGCTCTGTCAGTCTAAAGAAAAAAAAAAAAAAATGAAATAACAATCACAGCACTAACAACTGAAATGTTCTGGAAAGGAAGGGGAATTGATATTGAGAAGGTTATAAATTAATAAATAATTACATAAGTAAATGTTATTAAATAATAAATATCTGACTGATTTTGGCACTACCATGTTCTCCTTATGAGCAGTGTTGATTATACTTGAAAGCAAGAACTGCGTACGTATGCTGGCATAAATACTCACAGGGCACACATCGCTTTTCCAATTATTTACAAAAACATAATTTATTAAGACAGCCAAGCTGAAAATCCCTCATAACTTACAACCAAAATTGCCTTGAAAGCAAATAAAGCATCCCACATAACAACATTAATACTTATCTGTTCTGCTGCCAGTGACTTGACTATTTGCTATCATACACATCTATAGCAGATTTTTTTGGGTGTGCGGAATTCCTGCGTCCCCCAAGCTTTGGTTCAACCCGCCAAATGCACTGCATCGCTACTGTGGGTCAGGCATGCTCTAGTGATGTAACAGCCAGTAGGTGGGACAATAGTGCATCTTATCATATGACCTATTCCTTGGTATAGATTATGTGGTCTGCTGATTAGGTGCTTTGAGAGTCACTTACATTAACAGAGTATTCAGGCGCAACCATCCAGCCTCAAATTTGTTTCAAAGAAAAACCAGATAGTTCACCTTGCAGATTCTGTTCAATTCCCACAAGAAATATGACCTCTGCCAAGGTACGGCTCAAATTCAGGAACCCAGAAACTTCAGGATTCTTTCACTGCACATGCTCAGTAATGTTTTAGGATATTCAAACTTTTGTCAACATGTGCTGTCTGCTTAAGTTTTTAATTCTAACTCACATAGTTACATAGTTAGTCTGCCTGAAAAAAAGACTAAAGTCCACCCAGTTCAACAACATATTAGATATTGGTCTGCAAAGTTATTTAGCTGTGTTTGTATTGAACTAGAATTTTCTGCTGTTCAATCTCCTTACTATAACTGCACCAACCAATAAGACTCCTGCTGTACTTAATATTTATACATTAAATATGCCCATAATATAGACAAAGATGTTTATGAAATACTCAAAATGATAAGTTACTTACTATAAACAAGTTTTTAGTTGGTCCATCATGCTGAGAAATATTCCGGATCATTTTCATTAGCAATGGGTCCTTAAATTTCAGAGCTTTTTTCATCAGCATCTTCAGCCCATTTGCTAAAATATACATTTGATCATAGTCAGTAGAGCAAACATTAACATAAAATACTGCAAAAAATATATGAAGGGCGTCAACAAGCTTCACAAAACTTACACTGCGTGAAAAAGTATATGTTAACCTTAGGGCTCAATCGCACCAGTCTGGTCCTAAATTCAGAAGCGTGATTCAGAAAGTCAATGGGGATTATTTACTAAAACTGGAGAGTGCAAAACTCTGCACAGAAACCAATCAGCTTCCAGGTTTTTTGCCAAAGCTCAACTGAACAAGAGGAGCTTAGAAGCTAAATGGCTACCATGCACAGCTGCACCAGATTGTGCATGCACCAGTTTTAATAAATCTACCCCAGTGTATTACTGTTATGTTGCATTTATTCTCTTTCATTCATATGAAGATCTAAGGTGAGACCTTGATCTGGATAAGATGTCTGTTAAAGCAACCTTAAAAGTAAAAAAAAAAAGTTAGTTTTTTTTCTTTTTAAAATTGATTCCTATTTAACTAAATTATTAACTTAGTTGACATGAACCACATCCCCTCTAGAAAACTTTTTCCATTTTAAAATCTACAGTTTTAGCTAGCACTGCAAAAGTGATCAGGTAGCTATACAACTGCCCAGATAACTTTTATGCGAAAGTTGGGAGCTGGCAGAATAAAACAGATACAAGTACATGGCTGCCACTGTAACTTTGAGCTTGTTTTAAACGTTTCGGACTCTGGAGCTACAAAGTATGTCCAATGTATGTCCAAGAGAGAAGAAGTATTTCATCAGGCCTAATAAACTCCATCCCCTTAGCTAATACTTTTCTGCTGATTTTTTTTTATTTTTATTATTTTTATTTTAAAGAGACTATTTCATTTGCAAATAACTTTGCAACGTTTGTACCAGAATAATAATTTTAGTGTCAATGTAAACAGGGCAAATTAAAAAATAAAATGCATACTTTTTATCTACAGTGAAACATTTTTTTTTTTTTGAACACTGATTAATTAAGAAACAGAGAATAGTTTTTTTTTGCTTTTTTGTCTAAAGCTGACATTAAAAGTAACAATTTTTGCAAGACAATATAACCTTATCTTAGGAACTAAACCCAGCCACATATTTTCAATTTCAATTACACACCATCAACCACCATTATTAGGCATTCACACTAGTAGCACATTCTTGAATTTAATTTAAATGTGAAGCCAAAATTAATGGGCTGCAGCAAACCCTGTGTAACAGAGGGCAGTGGCATCTTTGAAAAGTCTCTGCTCTTTTTGTCTTGTTAGCTTCAACTGCCCACACCTGATGGCTTTCAAAATCCCGCATATGCGCATTATAGCTCCCTGGTCTCTCAAGCTACCTTTACAATAATGAACTCCTCAGAGCATGGGTAGAACCCACTGTAGGTTATCTCCCTCTTTAGATCAGACTTATTTACAGAAGAGATCCTGCAATGAACAGAAACTGTATATCAGTGACAGTGGTCAGCCTACTATTCACATTGCATCATACAGTGTTGCCCTAGTAAATTCCCCCAGGATTGATTTTCCTTTCAGCTCTATGCTTAGGTCATGTGACCTGTCAGCACCAGAATGATGATACTAGCCAAAACTTTCAGCTGCACAACTATAATTAGCCAGTCATTGCCGATGTTCTCATTAAAGGTTCCTACTCTGAAAAGAAGTTTAAATATTTTTTTTTTCCATTATAGCGCTAAAACTGTTTGTATTTTTTAGTATGTTTGCTAATTTTGTGTTTTGTTGTTTCAATTCTTATGTGACCCAGTGGATAAAACAACTGTAAAAGTAGCAGCAGCAGCAGCAATGCTCTCTCTCAAACACTATGTATCCTAAAGAGGCACAGCATTATCTCACAACAATCAGATCTCTGCACTGGTCATTGAGGTATGAACCTATATCCTAATTGGTGCCACACCATTTGAGGGATCAGCAATATGGGAGCTCTCATGTATGTAAATAATCCTTATGCCCTTACTCTATACCAGCCAGGGGCGGACTGACCATTCGGTCATTGCCTAAGGGCCCGGGGTCAGTAGAGGGCCCGTGAGAGGGGCGGAGTGTGGGGAGCGGAGGAAGACGCAGTCTCAGATCCTGTAAGTAGCTCACATTTGAGTGAGTCGGGGTCCCGGGCAGTGGTTGTACCCACTGCTGATGATGGAGCCAGGGGAGGGCAGTGGGAAGGTGAGAGGCGCATCATCCATGGGTGTAGGGGATTTACTGCACACACCCCGCCCCCATGGATGATATGCATCAGGACTCAGGGATGATTGGTGCAGCAGAGGGACAGTAACAAGCACCAATCTCCCTGTATAGTAGTTTCAGTGAAGCAGCTGAAAGCCACGGGAAGAAGAGAATGAAAGCCATACAGGAGATCGGTGCTTGTCACTGTCCCTCTGCTGCACCGATCATCCCTAACTGTGCATCAGATTTCCCTCCTGGGCCCCCTTGTGTGCTCCTCAGCCCCCCCCTCCCCTCAGGTCTCTGATGCCTCCTCTTCTCTGACAGTGTCCAGCCCCTCCCCCCATCCTCCACAACATTGGCATAGCAGAGGAGAAAGCCTGGATCTGCTCTGCCTCCCTCTGTCCTCGCCCACACCGCAGCTTCTGACAAGTGGATGTGTGGACAAATTGTATCCAGATCAGCCGGCATATCAGTGATGCTTCTGAATGTGCCAGTAAACTGGGAACCATCCATGTGAGTCCTTGTTCTCCTCCTCTTCTCCTCTCCACTCCTCTTCCTTTCCTCTCCTCCTCCTCCTTTCCCTCCCTCTTTTTTCCTCCCTCTTCTCCTTTCCTTCCTTCCTCCATTCCCTCCCTCCCCTTCTTTCATTCCTTCCTTCCTCCATCCATTCCTTCCTTCCTTCATTTCTTCCTTCCTCCCCTTCCATCCTTCCTTCATCCATTCCCTCCCTCCCTTTTCTTCCTTCCTTCCCTCCCCTTCCTTTATTCCTTTCTCCATCCATTTCCTTCCTTTCTCCCTTCCTCCATCCATTCCCCTCCATCCCTTTTCTTCCTTCCTTCCTCCCACCCCTCCTTCATTCCTTCTTTCATCCATTCCTTCCCTCCCCCCCTTCCTTCCTTCCTGCATCCAGTACCACCCTTTTCTTCCTTCCTTTCTCCATACCCTTCCTTCATCCATTCCCTCCCTTTTCTTTCTTCCTTCCTCCCTCCCTCCCTCCCCATCCTTCATTTCTTCCTCCCTCCCTTCCTTCCTTCCTCCATCCATTCCCTCCCTTTTCTTTCTTCCTTACTTCCCTCCTCTTCCTCCATCCATTTCCTTCCTTTCTCCCATCCTCCATCCATTCCCTCCCTCTTCTTCTTCTTTCCTCCCTCCCCTCCTTCCTTCCCTCCCCTACCTTCATTCCTTCCACCAACCATTTTCTTCCTTCCTTCCTGCTTCCATCCATTCACTCCCTGCCTTTTTTTTCTCCCTTATTCCTTCCTTCCACCATCTATTCCTTCCCTCGCTTCCCGTCCTTCCTTCCATCCATTTGCTCCCTTATCTTTCCTCCCCTTCCTTCATTCATTCCTCCATCCATTCCCTCTTCCTTCATTCCTCCATCCATTCCCTCCTCTTCCTTCATTCATTCCTCCATCCATTCCCTCCCTCTTCTTCCTTCCTCCATCCATTCCCTCCCTCTACTTCCTTCCTCCATCCATTCCCTCCCTTTTCTTGCTTCTTCCCTCCCTCCCTCCATCCCCTTCCTTACCTCATCCATTTCCTCCCTTCCTTTTCTTCCTTCTTTCCTCCATCCATTCCCTTTCCCTTTTTTTTTCCTTCCTCACTCCCCTTCTTCATTCCTTCCTCCATCCATTCCCTCCCCCCCCCTTCCTTCTTTCCATTCCCTTCCTTCCTTCCACCAACCATTTTCTTCCTTCCTTCCTTCTTCCATCCATTCACTCCCTCCCTTTTCTTTCTCCCTCTCTTCCTTCCTTCCTAGATCCATTCCTTCCCTTGCTTCCCTTCCTCCCTCCCCTTCCTTCCTCCATCCATTCCTTCCCTCTTCTTCCTTCCTCCATCCATTCCCTCCCTCCCTTTTTCTTCCTTCCTCCATCCATTCCCTCCTTCCCTTTTCTTCCTTCCTTCCTCCCCTTCCTTCATCTATTTCCTTCTTTCCTCCCTTCCTCCATCCATTTCCTCCCTCCCTTTTTTCTTCCCTCTCCTTCCTTCCCTCCCCTTCCTCCCATTCTCCCATTGCTAGTGGGGGGGTGTTTCTAAGTGATTTCTCAGCAAAATAAAGCATAGAGACATGGATGGATCGGTGAGTTTGCTTTGAGTACTAAAAATTAATTCAATTGCGCTTTTGGTTTGTGGTGCTCAGACAGTGAAGTTCCGCTTAAAAAAAACGTGGTAAAAGACACATATTGCACTCGTGTTTATTCTGGCCATAAGAATGCAATAACACATGAATGTGCTTAAACATGTCAAGCATTTTTGCTCATCAAATGTTTTTTCTGCCAAAAGCTGCTCTCCCAAACGTCCTGGTGATTGTTTTTTACCTCTTCCTGTAAACACTCCTCTTATAATCACCTGTAGATGCCTATCTGTGCATGGACATATACACTTACTAAAACTGGTACACTCAGAATCTGGTGCAGCTGTGTATGGTAGGCAATCAACATCTAACTTTAGGTTGTTCAATTAAGCTGTGGCATTAAAACCTGGAAGCTGATTGGTTTCTATTTTTTTTTTTTAAATTTAAATATTTATTAAATTTTTCATATTAATACAAATACCCAAAAAGGGAAACAATTCACATATAAATAGACATTTATAACATTTCTACATTTCCCCTTCTAAAAACTCTTTTCTTTCCCATCCCACCCCGACCCCTTCCCACCCCTCCTCCCCCTCTGCAGACTCTAACCCATTCTAATCTCTCGAGGCTTATTAATTTTTAGCTAACATCCTAGTTCATAGTTTCCTATATTTCTCTTTCAATCCTGCTTTTTCCCACTTTTCCCATCTCATATAATAAACTCCCATGCTATCTTCC